AACGACTCGGCCCCCTCATCGACCTCGTATCCCCCATCGGGGGTTGCTCCGACGCCAGTCGCGGGAGACGGAACGCCCCCGAAGACCCCGAAGACGCACGAAGGATTCGTGGCCGAGACACCCTTACCACCTCCCACACGACACGCAGAGGACCAGAGCTTCGACGACCCCAACGACCACGACCTCGGCGACTCAACACACACTCCGACAGTACGAGCATCGCCGACCCCCCCGACGAGCAACCGACACCAATTGACTCCTGGGGAGCAGGCCCCTTCCTGCCCCCCCCGACACCCATGGCCGCCCCACTACAGAGGGCACAGTCCTTGCCGCTCCCCGACGATCCCTCTTCCCCACGTCATTTCCGACCGTCCCACGCACAGACCACCCTATTGGGGAACCCTGACTCCCCCCCACGCTCCCCCATTACGCTCGAAGTCGGCCCCCCCTTCGCACCCACCCAACCATATTCCCCGAAGCCACTTCCAGCACGATTCCACATCGCCACTCCCGACCGTGCCAGATCTGCACCACCACCGGCACTCCGAAGGGCAAGCACTCACAGCAGGCCCGCGCGCAAGGTACGGATCTTGGATGACGGCGACGGATTCGACAACCCAATGGACCGCAGGCGCTTCAACCCCGAGAGTCAGGAGGGCAGCTCGGGTTCAAGCTCTGACACGACAAAAAACTGAACAGGACCCCCCCCCCGCTGGGGGGCAACTGGCCCAGCGGGGGAGTCCCACCACAACCCCGCCAGAAGACCGAGCACCTAGCCCGCTCAGAGTGGCTATACGTAACAACCAGCTCGACGGAGCAACCACTGAGCCCCAGCAGACGTGCTGTGCGACCCATGCGGTGCCAGACACTCAGCGACAGGCCCAGTCGCCTTTTCAGCCACATGCCCCACTTGGGAGGCCACCGACCGCCTCAGCGGTGTTAGCTTGTGGGTTAGCACACCGCCTGACGCCAGCGGCCGCGCAACTTAGCACTCCACAACCAGCGACTGCGACACAAAAAAGCAAAACCAATAAAAAGATTTGCTTCAACACTATCAGCGAGTGGGTAATCTACTCAGCCGCCGCGCCTTGGGACCAGCACTGCGACCATGGCAGCGTGCAGGCTCTAGCAACCACGACTGCACCAACCGTCGGACCGTGGGCCATCCCCTCGGCCGACAACTGCAGTGCACCAACCACCCCTCCCAGGCGGCCAGCGAGGCCAGACGGGGCAAGCCCCCATCGACCCGACCGACCCGCTCCCAAGAGACGAGCCCAGCAGAAGGCGAACCAGGCGACCAGCCACTTTGGCCCAAAGGCGCCGTATCAATTTTCTCTTGAAGCGCCTAACGAGGAGCCCCACCAGGAGGCCAGCCGACGTCAGCAGCAGCAAGAACTGCAGCTGCCGCAGCAACAAGAACTGCAACAACCTGAGGAGCAGCACCAAGACTTACTCCACAGGCCACCATCGGCTGGACCTCGGAGACTCCCCGAGGCCGGCCTCTCTGCATCGCTATACTCCCCCCCTTAGAGAGTACCGCAGGACCTCCAACGGCCCACCAGATGCCAAGCCAGCCAACGCCACGGGGCCAACAGCTGCGCCACTGCAGATGCCCTGGATGCGCAGCCAAGCGGCGCAGACGCCCAGAGGAGCCGACGCCGCACCACCCGTCCCTGCGGCAGCCAACTGCATAGATCCACGAGAGGTCCACGACATCGAAGCCACATACCTAGACGCCAAGCATACCGACAGGGGACGTGCCACGCAACCCTTCCGCTCTCTCACATCCCCCTGCCCCCCCCCCCCCCCCCCACAACATCGACGTGTCTGTCCGACGCCCAAGCACAGACACATACTGCGGGCCAGCGTCTACATCGAGCAAGAGGGAAGGCCACTCAACCATTCAGAGCCACCAACGTCAAGCCCCCAGCACAACCCAACCAGCCAACGACAACACCCGACATGCCACTCCCGCTGCTAGAGCAGCGCAGCGTACAATTCGACGAGCGACCAACTATCCGAGAAACGATGCAGCAATCACCATCTCCCCACATCACTTTTGACCTATGCGACGAGTGCCTCAACGAGACAGCCGACTACATGCTCCGTCACCACCCACAACGACCACTCCAGGAAGGAGCAAAGATCCATCTCTTCACGGACGGCTCCAAAAACCCGAAGAAGCCGATCGACGATGCCTGGTCCGTTGTGATCGTAGGTGACGACAGCCACGGTTTCAGCTTCCAGGGGGCCATGATAGGGAAGCACAAGAGCGGCACAGACATCGCCCTCAAGGACAACGTCGAGCACGAGACCACCGCCACGACCGTCGAGATCACAGCCCTCATATGGGCCTTCGCCTGGGTGATACACTACAACCCCCACCACATCACCACGATATCCACGGAGTCGCTCGGCGCTCTGCAGCTCGCGAAGAGGCTAGCCTTCACCGACCACGACCCCAAGCTCGTCAGGACACTCTGCATCCTCTACGACATGGTCAGCAACAAGATCGACCTGCAGCACGTCCACGCCCATGACTACAACCCGTGGAACGAGGTTGCCGACGCCGCCGCCAACCACGGACGCCTGCAAGAAGTTATACCTCCTCAGCCAGAGCGGGCAAGCGCAATGGATGGCGCATCCCAGCGGGACTGGGAGTTCCTGATCGACGCGGACCCCAACACTAGGGAGGCATGCCCCGTACTCGGCCACGGCAACCTCACTGCTAACAGGGTCGAGACGACCGCCGAGGCCCGAGACTTTCACAACCCCACCGAGTCCAGCGACAAGAGGGTTCTCGTAGAAATAAACATCGCCACCTTCAGCATCCAGTCGGGGAGAGAGGGGGCCAAAGGAAGGACCGAAGTGTCAAAAAGAGAAGACCAATAAGCTTAAGTCCACGATGGCCTGCCTGTACGACGAGGACCTCCATACCATTGGTATCCAGGAGACAAGGACGCCCTGGGGCGTCCGCGACGCAGGACAAGACGACGACGCCAGATGCGCCAACGCCAACTGCTACCACATCATCGCCAGCGGCCACAAAGGGTTCAACTACGGCTGCGAGCTTCACGTTCTACTCAGCAAGCCCTGCGGTAAGAGCGGTAAAAAGGAGCTCTTCTTCAAACCTGACCAGTTCACACCCATCGTCAAGGACTCCAGGCTCCTTATCGTTCGCGTCGCCGCCCCTGGCTTCAACCACGCGCTTGCCGTCGCCCATGCCCCGCACTCGAAGGCCCCCGCGACCGAGAAGGATAGCGGCTGGAAGAAGCTCGCGGAGACTACCGAAAAGCACCATGTGAGCATCATCTTCTTTGACGCGAATGCCAGAACAGGCAACATCACCAGCGCGGCCATCGGCGGCAAGGGCTTCAAGCAAAACGAGGACCCAAACGGACACCGTCTACATGAGCTTCTCCTGACCAACCACCTGGCGGCCGCCAACGCATTCGCCAGCCACGGGCCAGAACATTACACCTGGCACCCGGGCAAGGACCCTCATCGCATCGACTGCGTCATCATCCCCAAGGGCTACATCGACTCCATCGAAGAGTGCGCCGTGCTCTACGGCATAGACAGCGGCCAAGACCCAGAGACCAAGGACGACCACTACCCAGTCAAGCTGCAGCTTGCCTACCAGATCGTCTCGTCCGTCACCAAAGGAGTCCCGAAGTTAGACGAGAGCAAGCTAGCCGACGAAGGGCGCCGCAAAAAGTTCTGCCAACAACTCGACGAGGTCAAACACCCGCCCTGGGACACCAACCTCAAAGAGCACCTCGCCATAGCCACCGAGAAGATCACGGGGGGCTGCGCACGAGTGTTTCCGCTACAACGGCCGCGCTCCACACAAGCCTTACATCACCAGGCGGTCCTTTGCATTCCTGCGAGTTCGCCGCTCGACACTCAAGACGACACGGACCGCCAAGAAAAACGGGATTGTCAGCCACTTCGGTGACATGGGGTTACGCTACACGGCCAAGATAACCGCGAGGGAAGCCATCCTGCCCGACCCCGCCGACGTGAGTGCCTTGGCCGATCTCAGCAACTACGCGAAATTTGTGGTGGCCTCTATCATACTCAGCACTCCCAGCCTAGCGATCCATGTCGTGGAACCCGACGACGCCAACACCGTGCACGGCGCCCAGCACTATTTTGACGCCCTTCTCCAATTCCTCAGGACGTCTAAGTCGACCCTACAGAAGTGGATCACGACAGACCGCGGCGACCTCCGAGAGGACCGCCGACGAGATGGGCGCAGCGATCGACGACCACGCCCCCCGTTTAGAGGCCCTGTACGCCAAGCGACTACTGGCCTTCGGGGGACGAAAGTCAAAGAAGCCGCCGACGCCCATCATCCGCGCCAGCGACGATGGGGAGCCCCTCGCGACGAAGAGCGGGATCGCCGACCACGCCCTAGCCTTCTACGGCTAAGTTGAGCAGGCTACTGCCACGGATGCAGACGGGGTAGCAGCCGACTACAACAAGAGGGCCCGCCACGCGGGGCCACTACCTAATATCCAAAACATAACACCCAAGCACCAGCTGACCAGCCAGCTCGCCGCCGCCAAGCGAGGCCGCCGAGGAGGCCCCGACCAGCTCACCGACGACATGTCCAGAGCCAGCCCTGAAGGGATGGCTCGCCTGCTCCACCCCGTCCTAGTCAAGACCCACTTCTAGAGCACCGAGCCGATCGCCGCCAAGGGCGGGTACTCCACGTATTTCCACCAGGGACAGGGGGCCATGGAGCTCCAGGGATCCTACCGCGGCATCCTGCTCAACAACACCATCGGCAAGATGCACAGCAGCTTCCTCCGCTCCCGCGTGAAGGGCCTGCTAGCTGGGCGACTAGAAGCAACCCAGTGTGGCGCCCGCCCCAAGATGGCCACGGATTTCATCACTCACACCAGCCTCGCGTTCATCAGCGACTGCCAACGGAGATCAATATCATGCAGCACCACCTTCCTGGACCTCAGGGAGGCCTTCCACTCCGTCATCAGGGAATTCTGCATGCAATTGCCGACCACCGCCGACGAGCTCAACGAGCTCATCGAGCGGATCGACATTCCCGACTTCATCAGACCAGCGCTAAAGGAACGACTTCAGCAGCCCGCCTACAACAACCAGCACATCGACGACGAGCACCTCTGCCACATGATCGCAGATCATCACACCTCCAACTGGATGACAGCCAAGAGCGCAAGGCACTACCAGCTGCCCCGGACCAGCACCCGACCTGGAGTGCCATACTCGGACGTCGCCTTCAACATACACTTCGCCATCATGCCGAGGGCAATCGACCAGGCAGTCCGAGAGGAAGAGGCCCACGGCCAGCAGATAGGCGGACACGAGATAGAGGCCTGCAGCGCTCAGAAACATGACCTTCGTCGACGACCTCACTGACTACAACTCGACCGCCAACGCCAACGAACTGATCAACACGACCGTTCTGGCAGCTGCCAGGCTCTGCACAGCAGCGTTCCAGCATGGCCTGAAGCCACACTCAGAAAAGACCAAGGCCATCCTCATGCACTACGGCGCGGGGGCCAAGAAGGAGAAACAGCGGATTGCCAAGGAGGGCATCACATACCTAGAATTGGACGGACTTGCTATCAAGGTGCAGCTGGTAACGCAACAGCAAGCCCTCGGTGCCGTCATTTCGGCGGGCGGGGTCATGGGGCCAGAGATCTGCCTAAGGGTCAACCGTGCGCTCGGTGCAGCCCAGCTTCTCGAGAAGCAGATCCTCCGCCGCAAGAAGCTCTCGAAGAAAGCCAAGGTGAAGTACGTCTACTCTTTTTCGACATCCGCGCTTACATGCAACCACCATGCCTGGAGCGACCTGACCTTGAAGGACCTGAAGCACATATCCGCCAAGTACATGGGCCCATACCGCGTCGCAGCCTCACCACCCAAGACCAAGTCACCCGACCAGCACATCTCCGAAGCCGAGGCAATCGCCAAGACAGGAGCACCCGACTTCATCACCCACCAGCCGATCGCGCGGCTACGATACTTGCCTAGACTCCTGAATAATGCTCCAGCAGTGCTACTTCAGCTACCCGACGGCCAGCGCCAAAGAAAGGGCACATGGAGCCGCCAGCTCAAGAAAGACTTCGACTTCCTACGGATGTACTTACCAAAAGAGAGGTGGCCCAGCCAAACCCAGCACGACCGCGACATCATCAACTGGGCCCGACAGAAGCCGAAGCTATTCACCTATTCGCCAACGCAGCCAAGAAAGCTTCGAAGGCCTACATTCTCCGCATTCGCGACCAAGCTCAAGGCGCCAAGCTCCAGAAGGACATCCAGATGACCTCTGCAGCTCGACCTCTGCGACGGCACCAACAACCAGAAGTACGTCTGCTACGCCTGCGGCCGAGTCGCCTCCAGGCAAGGCATGCTAATCCATATGGGCAGGGATCATCCAGACCACGAAGACCCGCGCTTCTGGGCGACAGGTACCGCGTGCCGATGCTGCCAGACCGAGCACCACTCTCTTCCGAGGCTCATCAAGCACTTATTGGTGGCTCACCGTTGCCGCAAATCCTGGCATGCCGGGCACACCCAGACGATGGAGCCTCTGACGGAGCAGCAAATAGCAGAGAACCTCGCCGCCATCGCCGAGGCCACAAACGCCTACAAGAAGCAAGGACGACACCCAACCTTCAGCGACAAGCCAGCCCACCCGTGCGACGTCACGCCGCTGCCGCTCCTCGAGACGTCGCCCGTCGTACCCAAAGTATTCGCCAGACTTGAGTCATCGCCAAGCAGTCCACCCGCGAGCTCGCCTGCAGAACCAGCAGAGCGCCAAGAGATCGTCTTCATCACCGACCGCCCTCGACAGGCTGCCGACCTCCAGCAGATCATGGCCAGCAACGGGACAACGAGCATCAGCGGCCTGGACTACACCCAGATCGCAATCCCCTGCGATGGCCAGACCTCAGAACTACCGGCAGAACTTCGGCGAGCACAACGCAGGATCCTACATGGCGAGGTAGCGGCCATCTACGTAGAGTTCCCACGACGAACCTGGTACCTACACGATGCAACCGACGTTCTAGGCAGCAGAGCAAGCAAACGGCGCACCCCAGGGGCACCCTGGGGAACGCCTCAAGTCTCCGAGACCATCGCCGACGAGATATTCGCTGCCAACAACGTCACACGAGAGGTCTTGCGCATGATCTTCATGGCGACCACGACCAACGTACCATTCGTCGCAGCCATCTCGGCGGAGTCGATCATCAGACAGACCCCCGAATATCGGTACATCGCCAACCTGACGACTATCTACGAGACCCCGACTAATCACTACGACCTCGGCGCCATACAGATCCTCGACAACGGCACCCGCGACGACCTCCGCAGCATAATGCATGCGGCAAGCGAAGAGGAGATCGACTTCGCCATCGCCGACCTGCTCGACGGCAACATTGTGGCGAGATGGGGCCTCATAACCGCAGCCGTTGCGCCCACCAGCCAGGACTTGAACACCAACGACGCCTACTACATATAACGAGAAGACGAAGTGCCGCCTCATGCCGAAGACGAACGCCACGAAGGGTGTCACCGACGACAAGCTCAAAGGCGTCAGGACGCAAGTCCTGAGGAAGCCCCGAGTGCGTGGGAAAACCTCAGGCAGCGTCGCCAAGTTTTGCAAGAGGCGTTAGGACGCAAGTCCTGGGGGAGCCCCGAATGCGTGGGAACACCCCAGGCACAAGTCGCCACGTTTTGTAGCATTGCTGAAGGCAGCGGCCGCGCGAGCACGAGGTCAGCGGACACCTGCGAGCCGCATTGCACACTCAATCCACTCGTGCCAAGCACCACCGACCAGCTACAACCCACGACCCAAAGGACGTCATACCACACCACACCACAGGTCAACGCTGCCCTGGTGAGGCAAGGATCAAACTTCGAGACGGGCTCGAAGGGTGGGGGGGCAGGACGAGTACTGCCCGCGCCTACCAGGGGGGATGGTGAGGGGCAGAGGGGGGGTAGGACGGCCACTACCCGCGCCCCCGCGGTCCGCCCTAGCTCGCCACCCCCACCATTCCCATGGCGAAGGAGGTGCTTACCCGATCGCCCAAGCGGCGAAGCAGAAGGCAGCCGAGACATTCCCCACCGACGACAGCAGCAAGCACCAGGCCTGGGGTTCGCCCCCACCGAGGGCACCGTGACCCCTAGCCATAGCGGGACGAGGTGGGCCGCCACGAACCCCACTTGAAGTCGGTGCATGGAGGCCTCTCAAGTGCGCCCATAACCCACACCACAACCCCAGCAACAATACGATCTCCCCACGACCTACCCATAGACACTCAAGACGACCATCCACAACCCATGGGACTCACCACCGACCGACCACCCACCCCGCAACCACCATCCATCCAACAACCATCACCACCTCGATACCACCTGCCCGCTGAAAGGAGGACAGGAGAAGGGTCCTCAGCAGTGCGGCACGACGCAACCATGACAGAGCCCGCTGAAAGGAGGACAGGAGCAGGGTCCTCAACAGCGAGGCTCGAAGAGCACGCCCTGGAGACACCGAAAAGGAGGACAGGAGCAGGGTCCCCAGAACCGACCTCCAGCAGGCACGCCCGCAGAAAGGAGGACAGGAGCAGGGTCCTCAGCTGCGAGGCAGAACAAAGACAAACAACCCTAGAACCTCCACCCCACCAACAACAACCACCTCGACTTGACCAGCCCGCTGAAAGGAGGACAGGAGCAGGGTCCTCAGCAGCGAGGAGTGATGAGCCTACCACAACCTCAGCTGAAAGGAAGACAGGAGCAGGGTCTTCAACAGCTCTGAAGATTGTGAATGCAAGGAGGCCGCCCACAAGGAGGACAGGAGCAGGGTCCTCAGAAGCGGTGCTCAGCACGCACGACATCTTAGAGGAGCTCACGCCAAGAGAAGGAGGCGGCGCACCGTGCGCCGCGGCGAGGCCGTCCCCAGCCCACGGGCCGAAGGGGGGCACGGCCCGCCCCCCGTGTAACATACGGGGGCCGCCAGCTCAGCCGAGCGCCACGCGGCAAGAGAAGGTCGGGCGCCCCTCAGCTCGCGAGCAAAGGAGGGGCGCCCGTCGCAAAGAAGTTCGGGAAGGACGAGTTCGGGGCCCACCTGAGGCCGTCGGACTGACGGGCTACGCCGCGCCGCCCGTCGGCGCGGCACAGAGCCCTCACTGAAAGGGTCTGAAAGGAGGACGAGGAGGAGGAGGACGAGGAGGAGGGGGGGAGGGAGGGAGGGGGAGGGAGGGAGGGAGGAGGGAGGGAGGGAGGAGGAGCAGAAGGAGCATCTGCAGTCACGGAGGGGGGGGATGCCGTGGTCGGCGCTCTCGCGTGCCACGCCCCTCGCCTCCGCGCACAGCGCCGGCGTCGAGAAGGCAGGCCGGTGGCTGTGGTCCTTATGTTTGGGGTCCCCTGGGCAGGGCCTGGTCCTTTGGGCAGGGCCTGGTCCTTTGGGCAGGGCCTGGGTCTGGGCTGTTGTCTTTTTTTTTGGGGGGGGCGCCCTTTTGGCAGGGCCTCGTCCTGGAACGCTGTCCCTCAAGCAGTGGCGAAGCGTCCTGGCCAGCCTATAGCCTTGGAAGTGGGCATGGGTGAGAGGGGAGAGGGGGGAGAGAAGCACAGGGGGGGGCAGGGGAGAGCGGGGGAGGAAGGCCCTACCAAACACTGGTCTAAGGACCTTTTGTGGTTTCCACGAACTGGTCTTAGACAATTTCTGGCGGAGTCTGTCTTGTGTGATCACATCGGGTTTATGTTCTAAGAACATTGTTTCTGCTTTTAGGACAATGTTTGGGTTCTAAGAACAGCTGGGACTGCTGGAACAGTCGGTCGCTGCTCAATGGAACGCCGTCCCTTCCAATACCCATCGGTCGTGGAAAGTACGTCTTGCGATGGCCTCACGACCCGTGCCGCCGACCCTGAAGACGGGGAGGAGGACGACGAGAAGGAGGAGGAAGAGAAGGACGAGGAACAGGAAGAAGGAGGGAGGCCAGGCCCCTGGGCAGGGCCTGGTCCTTGAGTGCTGCCCCTTCCAATACCTGTCGGTCGCTGAAAGTATGTATTTCTGGATTCCCCTATTCCAGTCCGCTTGAAGCGCCTTCCTGCTCCAATGATCGAGTGGTTTCATCTTGCCCGTCCTCCGAAGAGGGCGGACGGAACCCAATCTACTTCCAACGCCTTCCTATTTACGTTTCTACCTACTTCTTCCGACCGGTGAGTATCCTTCAGATCCTGGCGTTGCACTTTTTGCACAGCGGGCGTTTTAAGCCGGTATTCGGGCCCTCGCAGAACGATCCGGCTCGACAAATGATGCAGAACGATGGGGTCCAGGGTTCTGGTCGTGATTGTAGGCGATGTTTCAATATTTTCGCAACGTCGCATCTCAGGGATTGGATGTATCGGCCCAGCCGCGATTTGAGGCCGATGTGGCACTGCCCCTGGGCAGGGCCTTTCCCAGAATGGTGTCGATCAGTATGCTATTGCCCCTGAAGTTGGCTTTCTTCTGGCATGACGGCGATCAGACTGCTATTGCCCCTGTGTTGGGCCCTGGTCCGTGCTTGGTGCTGCTCGGCAGCTGTCTCCTCCTCCCCTGTGCCGGAATCTGCGGCTACTGCACCGTCTCGGTGGCAGGAGCAGCTCGGAGAAGACATGTCGAACCACTCGTTGACAGGGCGACCGGCGCGCCCCTCCACGCTGCTATGCGGGGCGCCGTTTTTTTTACAACCGCGCTGCCCGCTCACGCCTCCTGGCCCGCCTGGCGGCGGCCGCCTGGATCGTCACAGGGCGCTGCACTCAGCACAGGTCTGCCCCAGGAGACACCCGGCACGTGCGCGCTGTCTACCCTCTCTTCTCCTGCCTCCCCTCGCCTCCTCCCCTCCCTCGGTGCGTGCTCGTGTTGCGTCGCGCAGCGCGGGGTGCTATTCGCAGTCGCACTTCTGCGGCTGCCGCGCGCCTCTGTCCTGCAAGCGTGGCTCAAGCTCCAGGCCTGCGCTGGCAAGTAGCTGAAGCCGAAACTGTGTAAACCCGACGCCTGGCGAACTGCCGGCAGTTCGGCTCGCGGCTTGCATTGTCGCTCTTCTCCCCCCCCTTCCTCCTTCGTGTAAGTCGGGCGTGTCTTTCTACAGGAGGAATTTCCCAAAACAGTAAAAAAAGTGTCTGGGGACGATGGTTGGACTAATCTGTAGTCTGTGTTGACTCTTTTTTTACTTATTTACCCAAAAGCCGCCTGTAGGAGGACATGCCCGACCCAATCCTTCGTTCCCCGCATCTCCGCGCAGTACCAAGGGAGGAAGACACCCGGACCCGATACCTGGCGTCTGCTGAACAACGGCCCTGGGCGTTTACCAAACAGCCCTGCCATGCTCGCTTCCTCCCGTGCGTGGGTACGCTTACGAAACGGCTTCGCGTGTCGGGGTGATTCTCCTGGGATGGATTTTCTGCCACCTAAATTCAAGAGGGGAAACACACGCAGACAGAATGAATCGTCGACTTCCAGGAAATACGGGAAATATGGGAAGTGGGGGGGAAGACAAAAACCCTGAAAATAGGCTAAAATAGGGGGAATCCTGCTACTTGCGTCTATGTATTCGTGTGTCCCAGGGCCCCTCCACAAACCAGGTGCGCGGGCAGTGGGCTCGGCTCGCTGCCGCGCCTGGCTGGCCGACCCCACGGGGGCCCGCTCCCACCGCACCAGGGGCCCGCCCCCTCGCCACACTCTCGGAGCCGCTCCCCCCCGGGGCTGCTCGGGCACTGCCGTGCGCCACCGGCGCCCGCTGTCAGGTCGGGCAGGTCCTTCCACAGGCAGGCGCTGGAGGAAACATATCGTCAAAACGTGTGCAATCTTCCAAATACCCAGTATTCCATATTTCCAACATCAGCCCACCAACATCCAGACAGAGTCACGAATAGTAGCAGAGACGTTCCCAGACTATTGTTTCGACTACACCTTAGGCGATGCTTAAGAAAACTTAAATTTTCTTCCAGGGTCTCGATTATTCTTAATGTTTCAACGTACATCCTAAGATTTTAATAGAAATCTTGGGTTTTTAGTCAAGTTCTGAGACTATGAATTTCTTAACCCATGATTTCTTAAGCATTTCGCAGGGTGTACTCCTGATCATTCCTTCCGTAGAGGGGCAGGCCCGACCTCACAGCCCGCCTTCCAGGAATACTTGCTCTGCCCCTTCTCGCCCCGTGGCCCCGTCGCTCCCAGCTATGTTTGCTCCCGCCGATCGCGCGACAGAGGTCTGGGCAGTTTTTCTGTCAGCCGCGGGTGCGTCTGGGCCTCAACTTGCTTTGCATGGACTGTCGGTTGAGCCATGTGGGGATGCACGCACTGGGCCAGTGTTTGTCCCCCTCGCTTCTCCTCCTCCTCCTCCTCCTCCTCCTCCTCCTCCTCCTCCTCCTCCTCCTCCTCCTCCTCCTCCGCCTCTCCCCATCTTCCCCCCCTCGTGGCCAGTGCTCAAATTAACATCTGGCCTCTGG